TATTTCAGAACTTCGAGACACGAACTGTTTCGATACTTTTGCATTGCGCTTTTACTGCCATTTTTATTACAACTTCTCTACAGACTGTTTTGTAAGGAAGAATAAATTACAGCATCTCCCAATTTACTTGTCAGTAACCACTGGGGATGTCAGCGTGCGTCCACAGACATCACAAAAGGAAGTGGGTGGAAACAACATTAAGAGCTCTGTTTTAGACTCATTAGGCTTAAGATGACAATTACACAATTTTAAGATGTCAAACAAGCCAACATTTTAGCTGGGACAGATGGTACTGGATCCAGAGCACAGGGTATCTGCTGTGAGTCATCAATTTAAATATGATGGTTCCATTTTTATTTGCAAATTTGATTATCCAGAAACAAGAAATAGAGGAGAACATTAAACCAAGCACAGATTCCTGCAGATCTTCACAAATAAAAAGTTGGAAGCAGAAAGATCATCTTCCGAATGAAAAAGCAAGTAACAAGACAGGAGGCGGAGGAGAGAACAGTCAAAGCTGTCAAAAAAAAACAAGAGCAAAATTTCAAAAAGAAAAATATAGTAAACAGTACTAGAGGTAGCTGGCAGGACACAGAGGAGGAAGGGAATGTACGAGTACAAGGGGTCAGAACAAGTATGGAAAGGACCTAGGATGAACCTCCAGGAGATACTTTTGACAGTGACTGAAAACAGCTCATGCAATGACTTTCAGTAGGAAAAGAGATGGAGTGGTAGTTCAAACATGGGGCAAAGCTGGGGTGTAAAAAGAACCAGACTAAGGCTTGTTTGTATTGGGAGAGAAAAGAAGGCAGAAAAAGGCATCAGCAGGTAAGATGGAGCTACAGTTTAAGTGAAACACGTGTTTCAAACCTTCTGGTTGTACTAGGAAATGAGAACTTATAGGACAAAAAGATGGCAAACAGAATCACAGAGCAGTTTTGGTTAGAAAGTACCTTAAAACTCATCTCATTCCATCCCCTGCCACGTGCAGAGACACTTTCCACTAGCCCAGGTTGCTCCAAGCCCCATCCAACCTGGCCTGGAACACTCCCAGGGATGGAGCAGCCACAGCTTCTCTGGGCAACCTGTGCCAGTGCCTCACCACCCTCATTGTGAAGAATGTCTTCCTAAAAATCTAATCTGTCTACCCTCTTTCAGTTTAAAGCCATTACCACTTGTACTCTCACTACACAACCTTGTAAAAAGAAGAAACTGGAAGAAAGCCAGGGGTTTTTTTTCCATCTTCCCTTGAAAAAGCATTCAAAATCCTATAAAGAAAGAAGGGGAGTCAATAAATATGAGATTGAGAAATTTGATGTGAACTGCAGAATATATCTTGAAAAACAGCGTCCAGCCTCACGTTCTGTAGCCCTTCCATTGGAGAAAGCTCTTCTAACTCCACTGATATTAAAAGACTGCAATATCCATTTGGTAACAGTAGCCCATGGGGACCCCACTTTCACGTGGCTATTACTATGATTCCCAGACATTGTTCTTCAAAGCAGGTTCTGTTCCTGTAAGGAAATCCTACAGCTTTCTTTCCTAGATGGAATAGTACAGACAGATGCTGTTATAGGCACACTGCTCCCCTAAATCCATGGTGTGCTTACATTGCTGAGCACGTCACCAAATACCATTATATAACAATACATCCAGTTTGGCAACCAACAACCTCTGGAAATTCTATCAGCAAAAATTTCATGTTTTCTTCCAAGTCACAGCTAAAAATATTGAACATTAGGCTAAGAAAAAGCTTAATGTGTTACTGCAATTAAACCCATTTTCTGGTATCACCAAAAATAACTAATATTTACAACATAATTATTAGCATTTTCTTATGACATTTTTTACTGCAGTGATAACAGATTAAATGGGTTTGGGCTAAAAATTAAGATCCTACTGAGCTGACAGGTAATTCATACAAACAAGAGATTAGTTTAGCATAAAGCAATATTTATTTACCAAAAAGAAACAGCATGAGGCTCTGCTGGCTGGTAAATGTCTATTTATGTAATTTAGTTTTTTGTGCTCTATCTCTGTATCTGCTCTTTTTCTCTCCCTAGAACCAATCCCTGTGGTTGGTCTAACACTCAGGTGGATTTTTATATTCTTGGTATATCCCCAGAGTGATATTTAAAACCACAAGTTCTCCTCTAAAAGACTTTAGGGACAACCATCTAAAACTACTGGTACAAGTTATCCACTTTGATGACTAGGGAGTGAAATATATTTAATATTCTTCTGTGCTAAATCATATTTGTTTATAGTAAAAGAAACTCATAAAATAAGAAAACATGCAGAATTAGTGTTAAATACAGAGCAAATGTCTGAAACCATGAGGAGACCACATGGCCTCTGCAATCTTTAACGTCTACCTTTGAAAGATACCACAGTGTGAAAAGAACAGATGAGGCAGCACATGTCTGAATTTATAACACAGACGTATTTAATGAATTTGAAAACATGTTTTCTGAGAAAGAATCTGGGGTGTTTGCTACATTTAACAGCTTCTACCTGTGAATGGGCAACTGCTCTGCCCTGCAGAAGAAGAGAAGTCATCTTGCTAAACCTGGTTTGGCAGCAAACCCATTCTTCCGAGTCCTCTGTGAGATGATCTGGTCTCTCGGTCTAGTTCCTTGTGAAGAGCTGTCTACATTCTGTCTACATAACAGACCCAACGTGCTACCTGGCACCACTGCTGGCAACGCAGCCAACAACTAACAGAGCTTGGCAACTGCACTGCTCTCTCTCCCAGGAAAACCTTCATTGTTCAGAAACAAAGCACAGTGTTTGGGGAACAGTAGAGAAACCTCAGTGCCATAATTAGTGCCATCGTTTGGTCTATTTGGTCAAGTAGAAGCAGGATTTTAACCTTTTGGCAGGTCAGTTTAGAGTTCTTTGTAGAGACAGCTTAAAACAAACATAGAGAAGTTGGCAAGGACTCGATCTTGCACAAGAGGAATGGCACAGAACTGAATCTGGGGTCTAGAAAGCTGCTGCACAACCAGGATCAAACCCAGAAAACAAGCAGAAGTATCATCCTGTGCCTGCAGCACTGACTACTGATACATTTTGACCTCACATAGAAGATAGGCACTGACTGTTTCACACCGCTGGCTGCCAAAGGCACTACTGAACGTGAGGATCCCATGCCACTGGCACCACCACCACCCAACTGTGAGCCTGGAAGAAAAGCCTTGGTCAAATCACACAAGATGTGGTTTTAAACCAAGTGAGGAGAGGGAGAAGTTTCCTGGACTATGGGAACCACAGAGATATTTCAATCAGAACACAAAGGGAAGTTGAGACAAACGCCAACTGACTCGGATCATATCACATCAATAATCCATGCGCAGAGCCTCTGCTGAAATCAATGGGAGGCTTGTGCCTAAGTGGATTGTATAATATAAATGCACAGCCCTGTTTAGGCTTCCACATGCTCAAGAGAAAGAGGTACTGAGAACAATTCCCTTAATTAACATTTCTCTTCCATCAACTGCTTCTAAAATAATAAATTCTAAGTTTACACAGCTCTGCTTTAGTTCACAGTTTTTATCAGAGGTGGTAAAACAACTGACCCCATTTGACAAATAAGGGAGCTGAAGCATAGGATGCAAATTAAACCGAAGAGCAGCACTGAACTGGGAATAGCAGCTTACCTTCTGAATCACAGTTTAATGTCCTAGATATTTACATGCTTATCTAGTTCAAGTCTCTAATTAGGGTGACTCTGTGCAGTCCCCAAATAATTCTGCATACTTCCTAAGGTACCTGTGCACACAATATGCTTATCTCTAAGAGCATCCCACTCAACAATGCTAATTTTCTGAGGATTTTGAATGTCCTGCAGAGGTTCAAAACACTGGACTGTCCTCCTCAGACTCCCCTGGGGCACCAAGGGAGTCTCACTGCTCTGATAGCACAAGTCTCATTGCTCAGCAGCAAGAAAGGGTTTTAAAACTGGCCATCAAATCCACACTTTCCACATGCTTTCTGTTAAAGAGGAAAAAAAAGAGGGAAAAAACCCAAACCAACTTGCAATTCAAAACACCAATTCATTAGCTGGAAACGACCTAACTCATCCTGCAGTTCCAAATTCACAGCAATGTCTAAGAAAAAGCAAGACTGGATGTCTATTCATGAAGCAGTGCAATACTCACAAGAAGTGAGTGCAAAATGTCAAATACACCAATTGAACAAAAATTTCCAGTCTTATCAGTCTGCAATTGTTTTACAGTGAAGCCAAGTAAGAAGGAACATAAACTATCCTGTAATTTGAAGTCATAAATAATAGTTTCACTTGCATGCTAGGTACAGATCTAGCTTCACCTACAGAACCAGTCGTCGGCTAAATACAGACCATCTCCCCCTGAGGTCCTGAGTATGTTTCCCCCCGTGAAAATCCAACTTTGAAATGCTTAACATCTTATGTAAGATTGATTTAGCAATACATCCACTGTCTCGTTTACATCTTACACGTGATTAAGTCCTATATTACATAGGTCAGTGCCAGCCACAAACATGTTCATTTCCCTTAACTACAGATGCAAGTCCATAATACCGTGGAAATAACATATTTTGAGTTAAATGAGCTTTCTGGTCTTTACAATTACAGTGTTCAACTGCTTTGAATAATAACTTTTCAGGACTGGTTTGTTTTGTCTTTTGTTTTCCTTTTTCAGTTTTTTTTCTAAGGAGTTATGTCTATCCCTGACAAAAGGAGCAGAAACGCTGCTGAGAAATGGCCACACTTCCTAAGGACTGCTTGAAGAATTATTTTTCTGATTCATCACAGCATTATTTTTTCAAGTTGTCAAAACAAACACCACACCCACTTGATTTCCGAGTTCTAGGTAATTATATTTAGAATTAGCAAGCACCCTGCAACTATTAATCATACCAGGTTTACCCATTACTTTACCTATTTAGAGATGTGCCAGTGCATTCACACACAGCCCGTTTAGCATTTTAAGACGAACCCTCATCCCTTTGCTCTGTACCATCACGGCACAGACGGTCACAGACACGGAATATAGGGCAGGCCACGCGGTCGATCCCTCTGCCCCAGGGCAGGATCAGCTCCTGCTCAGCCATTATCGCTGATGATACACAAGAACTGGTTATTTCAGGCAGCAGCTTTACACACGCACATTACAAATTGAAGGAGGGGAGCGTGTGGCACGTCTGCAGCGCCTTAAACGGGGACAGCGCTCAAGCCGCTCTCCAAAAGAGAAAAAAAATTACAAACACAAAAGCTTCCCCAGCATGCGAGTCCGGATTTTCTGAAAGTAGGACCTGGCACGGGTTAGCGCCGCTGCCTCCCGAACAGTTCACCTCGTTTAAACTGGCTGAGCCGCCCCGCGATGATGGGGGTGACACGGGCGAACAGAGCCCTCGCACAGCTTCATTACTCCTTTCGCTGCCAGGCACGGACTTCGGGGTATCTTCCCCCTTCCCTCGCCCAGCAGGCGAGCGGGCAGCGAGCAGCGCTGTCACCGCAGCGGGAGCG